TTCCAAAAACAAAAAAACTGATGAAAGTGGTATTCCCCGAAACCGGCAGAACGCGGTGAAAAGAAGTGAGTAGAATTATAGATTTGGTTTCACATTTATTTGATGATAAATTTCTAAGTTTTCTGAATACTTACCACTGTCCATTGTTGTCAGTTTTGAGTGGGGTCATCATCAGGCTGCTACTGGAGTTGGTGTAGGAAGAAGCAGGAATAGATGAGGTTAGTTGATTTTTTCATTCCGAACATTCCTTCTAAGTTGATTCCTTTTCTTAATTTTACTTGGATTTTTTTTTCTTTTTTAGGGCATGTTTTACCTATGACGCAGGGTCTTAGTGTGCAGTTACAAAGTGCTAAATTGACTGGAATAAAGAAATGCGTAGAATATAAGGACGAAATTAACTAAATATGAAGAAAGTGACAGCGAAATAAGTGAGAGCTTTTTATGTGAATGTATTTTGACAGGAATTTCAGTTTGTGAACTTCTCCAGAAAGAAAGAGACAACCGGGGGATACTCAAAAGCTTTCAGCTTCTCTTTATCCCGCTAGCGCAGAGCTAATTAATGGTTCTGATGGGCGTGCACGAAAGTATCGAGAAATGATGATAAGTTGTTGGTTGTGATCTTCTGAGCTGGAGAGTTGAGAAGAAGATGAGCAGGTGAAGAACACAGGACGAGGCAAACCAGATCCGGAGAGAGAGAAAGAAAGAAAATAAAAAATAAAACGATAATGATACAAATTTTATGCTTAAATTTCGGCCCTGAGGGCTAACAGGATATTTTGTTTGCTGCAAACAAAACGTAACGTGTGTATGAATTGGGCTGTCTGTGTGTCACTATGTAACTTTCACGCTGTGATGTACATCGGTGACCAATCAAAATGGACAAAATTAAGTACTACACCTCAGCAGGGGCGGTGGAGTCGTGGGTGGTGGTAAGGAGCGGCAAATTCATTATGTTTAGATTTACTATATAGTTTTTAACAGTTTCACATATACATATAAGATAAATATATTTTATTTCAGAAGACAGTTCAATGTATTTCAGGACATGTAAAGTTGTAAATTGGAAATAACGTTCAACTTTAATTACAAGCGAAAGCCCCCAGTGGCACAGCGGTATGTCTGCGGACTTACAACGCTAGAATCCGGGTTTCGATTCCCGTGGTGGGCAGAGCACAAAATAGCCCATTGTGTAGCTTTGTGCTTAATTACAAACAAACAAACATAGAAGCGAAAACTAAATCGACTGGTTGTGCCTACTAATCACATATGTACAACTAGGGCCCTCTATTTGAGAACACCAGTACTTTAGTACAATAGAAGTATGTAATTCTTTTTATTTGCCAAAAATACGTGTTCAAAATACCAATTTAAGTGTAAATAAATTATGAAACACTTCAAATTGACCGATTTTGATTTTAAAACACATTTATTCATTTTTAAATAACTACATTTTAAATTCATTGTTTTCACATTTTTTGTTACACAATTTTCCGACAGTATCAACAAATATTTTACTGATTAAAATATAAAAATACCCAACAGAATGACGCAGCAAAAATTACAAGGTTAACAATCAGTTCACTATTCTGAAAAATTAGATTTACGTTTTTTTTTATTATTCACATTTAAGGATTTATCACAATAAAAGTAAAAATCAGATTTTTTGCGTTATTTGTAGCTTATACTTGTAAGAGTTATTGTTAACAATTTCAGCTATCTGTGTTGAATAACAGCGAAACAATGTTGAAAATACTTTGCTGGAAACATAGGGCTGGAAACGTTCAGTTAAACCTTAAATGAAAAACAAAAGTGTTGTTGGCAAGAATCTGGAAAAAAATAAACATAAAACAAACCCCATTATGACAACACATCTTGACTTATTGAAGATTAATGTGAACAGATATAATTGTAAAAGTTGTTCTACCTTATAAAGTGAATTAGATATGATTATTTAGGAATTTCATTGTAATTACCAAGAAATCAAAATACATTTAAATCATTTCAAAGATTTTGTTTCATTATTAGATATCTAAGAGGAACTGTTTGTACGTAAAGACTCCGTGTACTCCCTGTCGCCATCTACTGTGCAATATTGAAAACGTATTTTTTACTTTTTAATTTATAAATCTAAATTATAAAAACTGTAGTTTATTTCTATGTCAAGTAAGACATAATTATGGCAACGTTTTGTGTTGGGTGAGTTTCAGTAGAATAATTCAGACTATCAAGCAAAATAAATTACTTGCCATTATTTGAGTGTAATTTATAAAAAATGATAAAATCTGAGTTAGTCAGAAGTTTCTTTTAATAAATGATGTTTGAAAAAATTCTACTCATAATTTTAAGGGTCATTCATAATCAGTTTTAAGTTTACATAATCTCTTTTTTTTTTTATATTGATATCAAAAAACAATTTTAGATAACCTAACAACATTCTAAAATCTAGATGGCAGCACATGTTGTGTAAGGTAAAGTTGCAATTTGTACTTATAGATTTCTTCAGGCTTTTCCTAACTAGGGATAAACACCCAGGTTAGAAACCCTAATGTGTAGACATGACATAGTCATCCCAAATTTAGAAATACCATAAAGCTACACAGGGGGCTATTTGTGCTCTGCCCAATGTGGGCATCTGAACCTAATTTTAATACTTTCTGAGTAACAACAATGTTTCCCCCGGTGGGGCCCGGCATGGCCAGGTGGAT